TCACCAGAGATTAAAGTTCTCGGTTGCTTCGTAAGCAACGTGGGTGTTCGGTCTGGTCCAGACAAGGTCAAGGCCATAGCAGCATGGCCAACGCCCCGATCCCAAAAGGATCTTCGAAAGTGGTTGGGCATAGCCAACTACCCTTCACAAGTACAGTGCAGGGTACGCGGGCTTCGCTAAGCCCTTGTCGGGCCTCCTTCAGAGGAACATCGACTGGCGCTGGGAGCAAGAGCACCAGGATGCTTTTGATATCATCAAGGCCAGTCTCCAAGAGGCCCCTGTCCTGGCCCTGCCGGACGAGACGAAGCCGTTTAGCGTCGTTTGGGATGCCTCCGATTACTCCATCGGGTGTGCTTTGCTGCAGGCCGACACGGCTGGGCACGAACAAGTCATCTCGTTCCAGTCCAGACAGCTCAAAGCCGCCGAACGGAACTACCCTGCTCACGACAAGTAGCTCCTGGCAATGAAGTATGCCCTTGTGGAGTTTCGTGTTCACCGTTTGGGCTCCCGGCCCTTCGTTATCTACCCAGACCACGCATCCTTGAGGACGGCGACCAATTTGCCTCACCGCTCTAAAAGGATGGCGATGTGGCTATCCTTCTTCGCGGAGTACAACTTCCGCGTCGTGTACAAGCCGGGCAAGCGCAACGTGCTTGTGGACGCCCTATCTCGGCGTCCTGACTACGAGTTGGCCCACATCACGCGGGTGACAACGGATCTATACGATCGGATACGCATGGCGTATCGGGACGATGAGGCTGTCGCGCCTATCCTTAAGCTCCTCACGGCGGGAACGAGCGCGAAGTCTGACAGCGCTCACGGATCCACCGATATGAGTGGAAGGATGGCCTCGTCTATTACCAGGTGGAGCCCAATAAACCTCCACGGGTGGTCGTACCCAGCGACGAGGATCTGAAGCTCGACATCCTTGCGGAGGCGCACGACGCGACCTCCAGCGGCCACTTAAGCCGCGAGAAGACCTTTCTGTCAGTCTCTCAGGCCTTCTGGTGGACCCATGGGTCGACCGATACGTGAAGACATGTGAAACGTGTCAGCGGGTCAAACCCGCAGGGCACGCTTCGGCTGCACTACAGAGCCTGCCCGTTCCAGCTGAATGTTGGAAGTCGATGGGTCTTGACTTCATCTTTGGGCTTCCCGCCGGCGGACACGGCAACACCGGAATTTTAATGTTTGTGTGTCGGCTGAGCAAGATGGTACATCTTGCTCCGGTTCCCGTCACTGTTACAGGCGAACAAACCGCAAGGTCGTTCGTCGATGGCGTGTTCCGCTATCATGGTCTCCTGGAGCCGATTATCTCGGGCCGAGACCCGCGGTTCACAGCTGCGTTTTGGAAAACGCTGTTTCCTCTACTGGTAACTCGTCTGCAGGGGTCCACTGCGGACCATCCGCTAACGGACGGCCAGACAGAGCGCGTCAATAGAGTGCTCGAGAACACTCTGCGCAGTGTGTGTGCGGCAGCACCGCGTACGTGGTCGATGCAGCTTCCAGTTGTTGCGTTTGCAATCAACAACGCGGTGCACGCGACCACGGGGCTCACGCCGCTCTACTGGAACGGCTTCCGTCACCCCAGAGTGCCTCCCACTCTTCGAGGAGACACTGACCCCTCTATTCTAAATGGGGGAGAGGCTTGGAAAGCCCTTTCCTTCCAGGTCTCGGATGTGAAACCGGTTTCGCTGCGGAAACAAGTGGAATTGTTTTGGATACCAAGCTAAGCGTTGTCAGCAGGGTCCGCAAAGCGGCCCAGGATAGACAAAAGGAGTACTCAGACCAACATGAAAGAGGAACCTAAGTGTATTTAAAGTGGGGGACTTAGTGTTACTAGACACGCGGAATCTACCTCTTGACACTGTCAGCTCTGTCGGCAGCAACAAGCTGAAGCACCGCTTCATCGAACCTTTTGCAGTCCTGGCCAAACATGGTGCGTCGTACACCATCGACCTTCCAAAGTCAATGACGACGCACCCGACGTTCTATGTTGGACGTCTTAAGCGGTACTTTGATTCGCAGGGGGCTGCTGACTCGCAGACCCACCTTGGCCCAGCTCCTCAAATCGAGGGCGGGTCACAAACATCGACGAGAGTGTCGGAGCAGGCGCCGAAGCCTCGGGCTGAACAGCAATGCTGCGGACAAGACTGTACGCAGGAGGGGCTCCGTACGAACGGACCCCGGAGCCATACGCCGAGTACGCTGAGTAGGCCGGGTACGCACAATACGCGTACGTCTGGGAGTGCGTTGAAGGCTGCTCCAGACGTGGCAACAGAGCCTCGATCCGTCGGATCATGCGGAAGCCCTCGTCCAGATCGGTCGAAGAGGCCCGGCGATCCACCCGCAGATGCAGGCTCGCGACCTCACGCTTCAGCAGGTCCAGGCGGCCCGCAAGACGAGCGAGCTCGCCCTGATTCCCGGTCTGGGCGGCAGCATCACCGCCAATAACAAGGCCAAGTGCAATCTCAAGCACGAGGACACGCTGACGGAGGCGGTCAACCTCAGGGCCCTGTGTCGGACCCGCCGCCGGAGCACTCGGACGAGAGTGGCGTTCAGGAGGCGCCGAGTACTCGTACTCGTACGAGGGCACCTCCGCCCCTGCTTGACCAGAATGGAGAAGTCCACTTTCACGTGAAGCGGATCCTCCAGGAGCAACGGCGTCGCAGTAAGCGACAGCTCCTCCTGAAGTGGAGGGGTTATGCCCACTCCGAAAACGCGTGGGAGCCGATTGAACGGCTCCTGATTGACTGCTCAAAGGCTGTCGCAATCTAGGAACAGAAGCGGCGGCAGCTTCATAAGTAGTCCGGGGCTTCTTGCCCGAACGGGGTACGGACGATGAATACATTCCGTACCCGCGCACATCATGGGCGCTAGATGCCGCGCGCTTCAGGTTGTCCCTTGGCAGCATGCGCTTGCTGACCAAGTGAGCAAAGCGAACACGAAGATCACGCTGGTCCAGGATGCAGGACAGCAGCTGATTTCATGGAGTTCCCGTAACTCCGTGGGTGAGTACTTGAGAGACTCCATCCAAGCCCAGAACATGTCCTCACAAGAACCCCAAGTGGGGCAGTTCTCGGGTAGAACCCAGGGGTAGCCCCAAAGAGGGTTGAGACCACCCCGGTTCTCGGGCTTCTTGCGACAAGTCGTAAAGTCCTTAAGGGGGATGCGGTGTGGCGCAAGGAGCACACACCGAGCGAGCAGCCTCCAAGTTCTCAGCGAACAACTGTTCTTTTTGAACAAGGGCACGTTCGTAAATGCCCCTAGAAGTGTGGCCGCCCACAAGGCCACGAGGAGCGACAAGAAGCTCTAGGAAGAGGTCAGCCCCAGAGCTCTCCTCGGGAGGCGAATTCTCTCTTGAGTTGACGACAGCTCCCTGGTTGACGGGTGCCACCACCGAACCCCCCACGCACACGTTGGGCAGCTTGGTAGTCCACCTGCTGCTGGTCGAGGTCATTCGTGACCTCCCGGGGATCAGAGATAGCACCCTCCTCCTCCTTCTCCTCCTCTTCATCCGAGGAGTCGAAGAGGCCCCGATGGGAGTGCCGATTCTCCTTCTTCTCGCGGAGTGGGGACTTAGAGGCCGAATGCTTCTTTAAGGGCTTGGCGCCTTCGGCTTCTGAGGCCTTAGCACGCACAAGACCCTCGGCAAGCGAAAGACGTTTGCGAGATTTCTCTTCCTTATCGTATTAGCTTTGGGAGTGCCCTTAGCCTTGACGGCCGGACTCTCAACGTGCACAGACATCTTGGGACTGTGATCGCCTTGATCACTAGCGAGCGACTGCACGCGGTCGTCCTTGTGCTCGCTGGGCACTGGGCTGTACCGTCCCGTAGAGCCCGCAGGAGCATCGTGCGTGCTCTCGGACTCGGCTTCCTCCTCACTGCCAGAATCGAAATCACATTCTACGAAACGAGGGTTCGGACGATTTTCTAGAGAGGCCGAGGGCGACGGGCTGCGGCGCTTGCTTGTTCGCTTGCCCACCGCCTTGTCGCCCGATAAGCCGATCGGCTCGGAGACCACCTGAGTAGCCTCCTTAAGTGCCGAGCCTTTGCCGTGAGAATTAGTGCTCTTGGCTCGCACCGCTCTTTGCAGTGCCACGAGGCATAGTAAACGGTCGAAGTGGAGACCTAGAAAAAGGGCGCACAGACTGCTGGTCGAGGCTCTAACTGTGACGTGAGCCTCCGCCGCACTCGCGCGGCCAAGTCGATGGTTTTCGACTTTGAGAATGAAAATTTGTGACGAACACCTCTTCATTCTGATTGGTCGGTAAACCGGACATAGGTGGGGGAGGATGTAACGGGATACGTAGCCCTAAGTGTACCCCTAGTTACATGAAGAGTTACACGTCATTCTTCGGTATATTTGGTACAAGGTACCAAGGTCGTCCAAAGCCAACCATTGGCTGATGACATTGCTTTTCTTTAGGTGACTTATAGTTTGTATTAAACCCAAGCTTTATCTACCTATAAATATACTCAGTTTACATTCTACCTTAAATAGGTCACTTCGCTCTCTTTTATATAAAGAAGGGACCTGTGAGCTGCCGTTCACTGAGCGTTTTTATACTTTGGGACGCTAACTTCCTCTAGCGCAAGGTGCTGTGTGACCCCGTCGCAGCTTCGCTGACAACATCTTCGACAACATGCATTGTTCAGAGTTGCTTCACCCTAAGATTGATTCGGCTGATCTACAAACTCCTTTTCTTGAAGAACGGCCGCCCTGCTGCTTTATCTAGGAATGACAGGACATTGTCGTCCACACCTCCAAGTGCCGCACATACCCTAGCAACATTGGGATTGTGACGTACTGCCGTACGTGAGCTGCAACTGTGCAGCACTATGCTCTTCGTGACCGTGATCTTCTACCGTACTTGAAGCAGGAGGCGAGCTGCGCTCCACATCGCTCCTGCGTCCTGCCTGCTGGTCCCTAAGGCTCGAGATCCGACGCGCCGTCGTCGAACCGTACTGCGTACGAGAAGAAGCAGGTGCGCTGCACCATGCTCTCACCTGGATGCAACCAAGGCATGAAGTCCGACGCGCCGTCATCACTGCAGATTCCTGAGTGCCTCATGCCGGTAACGTGTCCAGCGAAGCCCGGTTGGGACACCGCGTGGACTGTCGCCAGTAATGCCAAGCTCAGCCTGAGCAAGACACCGCGTCTTGCTGCCAGTAACGCTGCCGGTGAGGCCTGGACAAGACGCCACGCCATCTCATCCTGCAGCAGCACTGCATTGAAAGCATCGGATGCTACCTTTGCTGTGTGAGTTGGTTCTGCAACGGGCGCTGCCGTTGCCGAGACGATGCCGCAGCTCGTCCGTTAACATAGCTGTAGGACAGTTAGGTAACGACCTAATATTACTCGCACGGGTTGAAAGGAGCGGCGAAGGCACTCGAACGGAGCGCACTGGGCTTGACAGCTCACTCTCGAACTTACCTCGAGCTCGCCAAGCCATCCTCAAGTCCCTGTAAGGCTGCGCCTTGCACACCGGTGTCCAGTAGTATTTCCCTTGCTGCAACAAGCAGCATTGTAACAGGGTCGAGGCGTCATGGATTCCTCTGCTGACAAGTCCACTGACAGCGCCTCGTCTTAGGGATTACATGCAAAGGAGGCTTTCATTATTCGCTAACTTCGTTGGCTCAACGCTGTGTTGATTTAACCGAAGAAGTTCACGCACCATAAAGAAATTTCATAAAAGGTACCAAAACGGGCGCCTTAAAAATTTGCGCACCCTTAATGTAATTGTTATATTTTAAGAGTTGCAAAACTTACAGGCGGATTTTTAAATTCGTTAAAAATTACCGATACGCACAGTACATACATTTTTAAGTACAATTAATGCTGGCCGTTGGATTTAAAGGCCTCATTTCCGAAAACGCGCCACGTATCAAACACTGCATCGCGGACGTTTCCGGGCGGGTTTCCTCCCCGATGACTGATACGCCGACGCCCCTACGACAGGCGATCTCTGCGCAGCAGGACCGCTTCACGGAAGCAGACGCCCCAAGTATAACTGACGGTACCTTTTTTAAATTATTTGTGCGGTAAACTGAGCTATTCTGACATGCATTTTTGCAAGATGAAATTCCCGCCCAATTCGAGCTCATTTCATCTCCCGGAGGCGACGATCAAGATGATGACAGCAAACGGGACTTCGTATCGGACCCCCGGTTCGTCTTCCGTAGATGACGATGGAGACGACGACTTCGAGCCTCCCAGGGATTCAAGCAACTCGAGCGATACGCTACAGGACCTTTTGAACGAGATTGGTGAGCGTTTATTGTTTTGAATTACATAGTTTCCTATAAACGCTAACACATTGCTTTAAACGATGGTATGGACAGACGATAGAGGTAGCGCACGGAAAAGAAGGGGTTGGTGCTCGAATTCGTATTGATAAGACCACGGCACGATTACTGACTGATTGGTGCTTACAAATTTGATGCAGCTCTCAAGGCAGACCAAAAGACTCGAGAAGGAAGAAAAAGAGGATCCCGTCGCGCGAGAAAATCTGATAAGCGTAGGCGCCGCGAGTCCGGCATGGAGAGTTATGGCACTGATGACGGGAGCGTGGCGGATACTGATTCGTTGCCGCCAACAGACGAGGAACGTGAAGACGCGGATGTCGAAAACGTGCGGCTGGACCTCCAAGACCCGAATACTGATCGCACGCCTCGGGTCCGACGCACGGAATCATATCCAGAGCGCGTTGCCTTGGAAAGATCTCGCGTGAGTGTGGGGAATAAGACCCCACCAATGCAGAGGCTTGTTGATTCGTCGTGGACGGAGCTAAGTGACGAGCTGGAGAAGTATAGCTGTGATAACTATCGGTTATTTAGAGCCCGAGACACTCGGACCGTGAAAAAACACAACTCGTACGTCTTATTGCTCCAGTTTTATGAAGCATATACTAACATATTTGCTGCATTATCTTTTAGCATGAGTGATCTTCAAATACCTGTAACGTTGGACTACAGCTACAAAGTGTTTCGATGCACCCACGGATGCCCGCAGAAGTTCCGCGGTACAGGCCAACGAGTACTCCAAGTCGCTATACTGGATGCAAGGCCCTGTTCAGCGCTGCATCGCGGAATATCGCAGAAGCAGGGCAAGCTGAAAAGTGGCGAATCGTTCTACGCAACTGGGTAAGATTAACATGTCTGTATTGCAGCTTATCCATTGTCGGTGCATGATCGAGTAGATAACGATATTTTTTTGTGTAGACATGGACGCACAATCATCGCACGAATGCATCTATCTATGCCAGCTATTTCGGGGCTGGATCAATACCAGTACATAGTCTGGTGTACGATCAAGTCGGAGTCCTTGCTGATGCCAGCACTGGATCACATCACATTCAGCATTTTTTGTCAGGGGCTTTGGAGAGGCACGTAACGCCCCAGCAAACACGCAACATAGTGCCAAAGGTTCTGAAGAGCACGGCTGCGGATAAGAAGCTGTCTAGTGTGCTGGAAACACTGGCGAGCTTCGGTGATCACGATGTGCTCTTTCTTCGAGATCAAAATGACATCACGAGCGGAGCCGTGATACAGACAGCTGTGCAAAAGCTAGCTTTCGAGCAGTGGGGTGAAACGTTCTGTATGGATTGAACGTATGGAACGAACAACTTGGGTTTTCATCTTGGTATGTACTTATTTATTGCTGCGCCCTTATCTAAGGTGGTGCAACCTTATCTCTAGTAATACAGTATTTGTAAAGCTATGACCTGCCGTTTGGTTTGTAGGAAGCGTTCTCGTCACTAGTGTAACAGGTCGTGGTGTACCAGTTCTGAATTTTATTGCACTCGATGAAAAGATGAAGACGATGGAGATGATCTTGGAGTATTTCAAGCAAAAGAACTCGCAGTGGTCCGCGGTCGAGACTTTTGTGATTGACAAGGACTTTAAAGAGTGGAGAGTTCTGGAGAAATGCTTTCCTGAAGCAACAGTGCTATTGTGTTAGTTCCACACTATGGCAAACTGGAAAAGGTCGTAAAGCGCGCCAAGTATGACCTCAATGGATCTTAGAGGGACGAGGTCGAAGTCTCAATGAAGCAGATGATGTACAGCACGACCACAGAGGCTTTATAATCGATCAGGAGACGAGTTTAAGAAATTTGTAAGGGCGAGTGTCCTGACATCTGCCAGAAGTCCTGCCCAAAGATTTTCAAGTATTTCGAAGATAATTGGGAGTGATATAGTGAGATGTGGTTCAACCACGGGCGTGCAAACTACTTTACGGCTGGAAATACGACCACAAACAGAATCGAGAGCAACTGGAATCAATTGAAACGACTTCTTGGCAGAAAGACAAGAATTGATCGGACAATTGCCCGTTTATTACAGAACCAGGTTAATGTCGTGTACCATTTGCTGACATCTCTTCGCAAGTTCTCAAGCCAGATCCGGAGAGTTGGATCCGTTCTGTCTTTTTTGCATCTTGTTGCAGCCCACTTATCGAACGACAGTCTCGCGAACGTTTCGGCACAGTGGGATGTGTTCATGGTGAACAAGGGAGAAGCTTAATGTGTGCAGGTCTGTCCAACGCAAGCGGATTGGAAGGTGCAGCTACCTGAACAAGAAGCAAAGGTAGACGACCTCACGTGGTCGTGCAACTGTCGGTTCTACAAGAGTCGTCGCCTGCTGTGCCAACAAGTTATGATGGTCGCTCGCAAAGCTCACGGATTCAAACAACTACGAGCGGGGTAGTTGCAAGTCGGTGGCGTATGGCAAAAGCAGACGAAATGTACGATTCTCTTGAAAAGGGTTTGGAGCCCCTTCGGCGAGTAATTAATTTGGTGAAAGCAAGACAAGCTCCTGTTATGGCGCCCCAAAGGGCTGCAGCACTATTAGTGCCCGGTTCTTCTCTAATAGGTAAACACTCTGTGGAATACGTACGCCTACGGAGAGATGGACAAGCGGATATGATTGTATTATCGGATGCTGAGAAATACGCACGAGCTCAAGCTCCTTTTCAACCGCTTATTGATAAACTCAGTAAGCTATCTACCGTTGACGTTTACGAAGAAATAAACAAATGGAAGAGCGTGGTTGACACAGAATATGGGAAAATAGTGGTGAGAGCTCGTCTGTTGACGATGGATTAGAGACGGACAGCGATTCCGATAGCTTCTTCGACCAGCTCGATTACGCTGACGTAATGGCCGATCTGGAGGCGGACCAAGAGCTGTCTATGAAGACCGAATCTATTGCTGGATTTGTGCATGATGCGAATCTTGGTGAATGAGATGATGAAAGTCTAGAAAGCATGGAGTCTCCTTCTCAGCCCGAGGACGACGAGGCCGATCGGGTAAAATCATCCAAAGCTGAGCTCAAATGATGCGAAGGGAAAGATGAATGTCAAGTCGATGAGCACTCTGCTGTCAAGAGTGTCGCGAAGATCCTTCCTATTGTTCAAGATGAGTCTAAACCAAGTTCTTTTGAAGTCCTTCGATTACCCCCTCCAAAACCCAGGACAAAAAACTAAGCAAGGGTGGATCACGAAACAACCCAAGTTTGCTGCCGTTTTGGTCTCCGCCGACGTCACGACTACGCTGACTCAAATCTTCCAATGGGAGAATTACTGCCCAAAATGTGGAAAAGGTATCGAATGTTCTGGATCAGTACCCTGTGCGGATGACAGACACGTTTATCAAGCTCGTATGGCTACGTGCGAAGTCGCCAAAGAAGCAATCGACAGCAAATCCATGGATCACGCTTTCGTCATGCCAGACGCCCTTTTAAAAAAGGCCGATGCTGTCATGGTGCAAAAGAGAGAGATGCTGGCGCAAGATGATGAAGCCCCGCCATGGGGGTTATTGGTTTCTTTCGGGTCAAACTGTCTCGTTCTACACAGATACGTGGAAAACTCGCGAAGATCTAGAATGACTTATGAGAGTTAAAGGTGCTGTATCTTTATCACCGTATTTGAGTGTTTTTGTTAATCATTCTTATATGTATGTATTCTAGTTTTTACCTGCACAAAATCAAGCACTTCTACGTACTCAAATCAAAAGCGAGAAGCGCAATGGAGGATATGAAGTGGCTAAAGCAAGAATGGCGCCTAGTGCAAGCCCACCCGATCGAACCATTTTCACTGGAGACTAAAATTAGTGGATTGATCTACTCTACAGCTGCCAAAGCGCACCAAAACCTGGCCGACGCTGTGCGAACGAAGTATTCTGGGCTCTCGTTGATGACAATGTTGAAGACCAAATCTGGTTCTTCTTTTATCAACTTTATCGATAATACGGCTGGTATTGCTCGCGATGTCATGGTGAACGATGCGGTTATCGACATGGCTATCAACATGATCGCAGATACATTGACGGGTTGTGTCGCGCTGTCGTCCTTAATGATATGGTCCACGGCACCCAAGCAGTGGCTTTCTGAGACGCCGTTTGTAATTCTACCGATGCATCTCAGCAGAATTCATTGGGGAGTGATTGTTGTGGAAGTTTCCTTCCCCCACTACACTGCGTGTACATTTCTACGAGACACCTACACCAGCAAATGTATAGGAAACAAATGAAGGGCACATGGAAGGACAAGCTTCGGCCTTACCTAGAGGAGTGGCATTCGAAAAGTGGAGCGAAGGAGCCATTCCCAAAAGAGATTATTAAGAAGTAGGTTAATGTGCTCACCAAAGAATGATCACGTCAACTGCATATAGCAATGCGTATTAATGTTGTCAACGTCAATTAAAAAAATAAAAGCTGCCTTATTCATCAGCATTGTTCACATGTGCACACCTTCACTTGCTGTAAGATTCAACGTAGGCTACCACATCACTGGTTTCTTGATTCGTGCGTTAGGATCCTGATGACTTGTCTCATCAGCACTCCGTACGACGGAGTATAACCACTTGACCTAGGGACAGCGTCGACGCGTGCACTTAACTCGTCTATGACTTTGGTTTCGCGTAGAAGCATTGCTTCAAGCTCCTCGCCAGCCTACTGAAGCTCATTGAGTGCCTCAGCCACCATACGCATCTTGTCTTGCATCTCCTGAAGCTCTGGGGCTCTGGAACGTAGCAGCTGGATCACCAAGACTTGGTGATCCATCGTCCTTGGTATTTGCTTAATGAAAAAAGCACGTGAATCCGATGACAAAACTCGGAAAGGCGCGGGAATCAGACGACGGACTGAAGAACGCACGGGAATCAGATAACAGACTTTGTAAATGTGTGTCCCTATCGTAAAACTTCGCCACCGTCTGCTGTTCCTGTCGTGAAACGTCGCCTCTGTCTGCTGATATTTTGGTAATTTATTTCCTTGTTTAAAGGTGCTCTTCAGATGAAGGGTGCACGAGTCATATAAGGGTGCTTGTACGCTGTTGTATTGTTGTAAGCTTATGGTGCTCTAACTTTATTCTGATTTAACAGCACATTACGCTGGCAGTTTTTTCTTCTTCTTTTTTTTCATGTATCGCCAGCTGTTCTTCAGGGAGTCTACAAGTACATGGATGTAACACGTCTTCATATCCGCTTCAATACGAGCGGATTTTTCTACCCTTCTTCTTCCTCATTCCAGAAAGAGAATCCGCCGCCTCGAGGAAAAATGGTAGTGGCTTCAATACAGTGCGTGATCGCTGGTCAAGCAGGAAGCTCGTTCGATGTGGAGGTCGACGATGCTGCGAAGGGAAGCAAGTTTAAGGACGCGATCAAGAAAAAAAAGCCCAACGAACTCAAACATGTCGATGCAGACAAGCTGCAGATCTTCCTGGCGAAGCAGCCCGTTGTAGAGGAGAGCAGCAAAGAGGTCGTTACTGATTACCGCCCTTCTGCGAAGGAGATGAAGGAAAGGCTCAAGTGGCTCCCAGGCGAGCATCGGGCTGCTCTGAAGCTGGTGAAAGGAGAATCCGACGACTAATGCGCTGATGGCCGGAGAACAGATTCTAGGCTCAAAGACCTTAGCAACGTGGTTCTACACGAAGAACAACATGGAGCTCCCATCCAGTGAACAAATTCACATGCTGGTGAAGGTGTCGGAGGGGGCTTCAGCAGTGCCTCTTCCAACGACCACTGCACTGAAAGAGCCGAACACATACGCTGAGGAGTGCTTGTCGATCCCAGAATGGGACATTGGCGTTGTGCACAGAATTTCCTCTGATTTGGGAATTTATAAGGAAATTGGGCAGATGTACAAACAGTGGGGAGATCTATTGGCGAATCAAAGATAAGCAAGTCGTGTCGGTGCTGGTGGATGGCTGGTTTTGTGCGTCTTCTCCCTCGAACATTAACGTGCATGCAAACAAGAAGTGTATTGTGATGGGCTCACCAGGGATCGGCAAGTCGACGCTGTTGTGTTTATTGGCCTTTTATCTCATTTTCAAGCACAAGAAGAATGTGTTGATGTACCGGCGATTGACCTTATTCAAGCAAGAGAACTGCCTGTTATGTCTGGGATACGACGGTGACAAGGTTGTATTCTTTTTAAAAGAGTCGTGCAAAGTA